TTTATATTTTTATTTGCAGTAGAAAAAATACAGGTAATTTGTGGACTCAATTCTCCTTGCAGATGGAATTTGAAGTTCATGATATGTACTTTGAGAAGAGTTCACCATCAACCATTTTCGTGTCAATAAGGAATGCCGACACAAATGCCCCCCGAGTGTCCTGGAACATGGGTACGTCTGAACAGCCATGCTGTTGTTGACTGATTATGTCTTCATGTTAAAACTCCACTAATCTAATTACCTACTTCAAAGAATAAATACCCCCAGCGTCTTATCTCTTTTAGCCTATTGTTTTGAGATATTTCCTATTCTCTTTTAGTTTAATTAAAATCACCAGCAGCATGCAGAGGTTTTAGCAAGAACACTATGAAACCCATTATGCTTTGGCTTCCCTCTACCACAAAACCTACTATAAGAGATGGAATAGTTTGGTTGGCTGATATTACTGGGGAAAAGTAAGGTCAAGATAGGTTTTTGATTGGTACCATGTGCCATACAACTCTCAAAACCTTTACATTTCCAATTATCACAAATAGAGAAATGTCTTCTGCTGGTCAGAAGGAAAATATTAGACAAAAAGCAATAAAAACTGCAATTTAAAAAGAAAAAATAAGACTGGGAACCAACAGAGAGGAAGACACTGGCGCATAGAGCCTAATGTGTCTGACTACCCCTTCAAGAGTACGGTGGTCAGATTTTCTCTGAACATAGAGGTCTGGGCATTCAAACAGTTTTTTAAAACCAGAATTACATAAACTCGCTTTTTGATGTTTTTTAAAATGTATTCTTTACTATGAATAACATTCTGTTTTGCAGGTCTTAGCTTGTTAGAAGGTCAGTCTCGTCCAATTACATGGAACCAGCTCCAAATTGTGGATAACGACAACCTAAATGCTGTTCGCATCATCACCGTGGACGGCCTGCTGCATGGGCGGCTAACTGTAAAAGGTACAAGCATCACATTTTCCCACTTCCGTCTAGATCCAACATTTAAACTGATGAATCGAGTCCAGTGTCACACAAGGCATGGGGGTCTCAGAGCCTATTCCAGATTTAGGGCACAATGTATAGGCCACCATCACAGGGCCATATTGAGACATGAAACCTACAATCAGTTTTAGCTGCAGTTTTGAATCATCAATTACGCTAACATATTTTGGACTGCGGGACAAGGCTACAGCAACCAGAAGGAACCAATTCATATATTGAGAGAACATTCAAACTCATCAGAAAAGGTCCTAGTTGGGTGTTGTGTTTTTGTGAGGCAGCACTGTAAAACCAGACCAACGTTTAGCATTTTTCACACAGCAATATAACATAGCAATATAAATATTGTGAAATATCTGCAACATAGAGACAATTTAGATTATAAGATTTAGGAATAGGAAGAATATAGAAATAGAATGTCGAGATAAATGATGACAAAATAAAATTAATAAGCTAAGAATTAAGCGCTACAGACTAGCAAAAAGATTGTCAATGCAGATACACATAGTTTCTACTCTTAATCTTAATCTAAAGCTCTGTGCTGTCATTTCGGATATGAATTTTGATCCTTTGTTGGCATACAAATCCAGGTGGAAAGGCCTTTATGTTCACAGTCAGTGACATAAAAGCGGGCATGGTCCACTATCATCACGATGACAGTGACTCTACCAAGGACTTTATCATCTTCCGCATTTCCGACGGTCACCATCAGACTCGACACAAGTTCCCCATCAAGATCCTCCCCAAAGATGACAGTCCCCCTTTCCTTATAACCAACATGCTGCTGGAGGTTTCTGAGGGCCACACGGCTCTGCTGAGAGGCTCCACCCTTCAGGCCTCGGACATGGACTCCAGTGATGACTACATTCTCTTCAATGTCACCCGCCTCCCTCAGGGAGGAGAGCTTCTGAAAATCCCAGGACCAGGGCTGGCAGGTGAGTGGAGAATGCTCTTTTCTCTCTCTGCGCATTTGTTAATGCTGGAACTGTACTAGGTTATGCTTGTTGTTGTTTCAATTCAGGTTACCCAGTCACCCACTTCCTCCAGAGGGACCTTTCTCAGTCCATAGTTTATTATAAGCACCTGGGGAATGAGGTGTTTGATGACTCCTTTGAGGTGGTGCTGTCTGATTTCCACGACCCTCCAAACCTGTCAGAGCCTCAAGTGAGTAACAGAACACATCTTTACAACATTGCTCATTAGGTGTGTGGTTTCTACACCCTGAACTGCAGATTTTCTTTTGGGTCTCTTGCTTCTAGTGTGTCATCATCATACTAAGACGTTTCTGTGCAGACCGTCCAAGTTATGGTAATCTGATAGGTGCTTTAAGAGAAAGCAAGTTGACTTTTGAAGATCAAAAAGTTGCTCTCTCCTTAGGTATCTATGACAAATAAGTGAATATTTATTAGCAGTTATAAAGTCACAGGATCGTCTAAATCGGGGATCTCAGGCACAACTGTCATTCAGGTTTGAAATGTTTCCCTGCTTCAGCACACCTGATTTAAATCAACACATCATTGGCAGTAGACTTGTGAGGAACATAATCCTTTTTTATCCTTAAATGGTGTGTTTGATTTAGATTTTATTTGGAACTTTTTTATTTCTTTTTTCTAATGCATGTAGAACACAATTGTACTATGCACCCATCCATCTACTTCTTCTTCTCCAGAGTCGGGTCTTGGGGGCAGCAGGTAAAGCAGGGAAACCTAGACATCCCTCTCCACATCTAGCAGCTCCTTGGGATTCCCCCAGAGGAGTTGCTAGATGTGGAAAGGGATATGCCATTTGTCTTTTTATATGTTTTTCAGCATATATGTAGTGTATCATTTTCTCAACTGGGTTGACAGAAGCACAGGAGCTCCTGAAGGTGACTGTTTTGTTACCTGCCCTCTTAAAAATAGCTAGTTTTGCATTGTTGTCTCACCAAGACATTCCTGAAGATAGTACCCCGACTTCTAATGCTCATGGATTCTTTGAGAAAAGTTGTCAGTTTTACTAATGTGAGGAACCTGTGACAGTTAAAGGGGTTTCTGATGGTTCTCCAAATAACCATCTCCACCTGATGCCTGCTCCATATCTGGAAGGGTACCAGCAAACGCAGACATGCCTGAGTAAAGCAGGGTTTACAGCACCACACGCTGCAGAAGCATGCATCCCTCATTGCTGATTCAGGGTTTCTGGTTGTGATGTTCTTAACAGTAGCATCTTCCACACACTTTGATATAAATCCAGTCCCAAACTCAGAAAACTCCCCCAGAATGATGTGTTCATTGGCAGTAGAAGCCTCTTTGCACACATTCCAGGCTGTGAGTTCAAAGTCAAAGTTCTGAAACTGCTCCCTCAGGGAAGAATGTTTGATTAGATCAAATGTATTTTTACCCCTATTGCAGTGTCTAAATATTGGTGGTGATGTGGCAAAAGTGTCTTAAAGTTGGTCTGAGTGTCAGGAAAACTATGTCATTTGAACCAGGACGATAGAGTTGGAGAGAAATTTAGTCTTTCTACACCAGCTGTTCAAACACAAACACTACCCCTAAGTCGATGAGACTCCTTGGCCAGGTGTAGAATTCTCAGATCACAAAGTGTTTTTCTCTCCAGAGTATGTAAAGCCCTCATTACTTGCGAAATGAGGCAGATTTGTGAAGTCCAACCACACTGTTGCGGTTGAATTCTCATGTTTATACCAGGTTGGGAAAGACTGATCATTTAGCAATGCACATGTGAATGGAGCTGGAATAGCTGCTGCCCTGCACAGGGAGCTGGGTAGATGGACATCCATGCTACTGTATGCTCCCCCAAGTATCTACTAACATATTTTACAGTTAGAATTTTTTACTAAAAACTAAAACATGTTTAAATCATGCTTAAAAATTCCATTTAGGAAAAACAAACACCCACTAGAATGCATTTACAAAAAGAAAAAAGATTGTCAACCATTTTTTAAATGTATACAAATGAAGGAATTACAGTATATTAGGACAAAATCATATGACTAGCCCACTGGTGATAGGGAGGCTGACTACCAGGAGATGTGCCCTGGGATATAGCCAATTGTACTAACTGTGGATACACAGACAACTAAAAGCAATGGGGTCCAAACTGTTTAAGAACAGTACAATAAGAGTATGACGGTGAGATCAAAATACTAAAAAGAACCTTCCAAAAACCGCTGGCAGGCTTATCAGTACTGACAAACACTGACCACTCACCACCAGGGAAGCCTCACGTAAGGTTTCAGGAACTTAAAAAAGTTAAAACTTTTAAGGAGACAAAGAGTGAATTCCCCACGGCTCACAGTAAAACACAGCGGTTACAGTACAAGTACCTGCCAGGAGGCCACGGAAGAGCAACCTAGAGTAGAGGCAGGACAGGAAGTGAAATTGGGGCAGGATTTTTAGCAGCTGCCAGTCATTGGGGGTGTGGTCCCAGACAAACGTATGTTCAAGAGCCCTACAACACAGGGAAACATCTAAAACCTGCGTAACAGCTGTCCTTGAGGACTTGAAATAAAGATCCCTGATGTAAATCATCTCAATTTAGCTCTTTGGGCTGAATTACTAAAAGAAAAGTAATTGGAACATAAACAATTGTAAATTCTGTTTTTTTTCACATCTAGTGTAATTTAGTCTAGCAGACATGTCCATCTATAAAATAACACGCAATGGGGAATCCTTGTACAACTGATCTTCATTGTTCATGGAAGAAAATGTGTCTAAAATATACATGTACTAACCAATAAGATCTCTCAGGTTTGCTCTTGAAAACTGAGTGAATGATTTCCATGGTAATGTCCAGGTGGTGATGGTGCACATAGAGCCTGTTCCAGACCAGCCACCTAAAGAGGTGCCTGGTTCCACTCGATGTTTGGTGGTCAAAGAAACAGATGTGGCCCATATCACACGACAGCAGCTCCACTTTGTAGACCAGAGGTCCCCGGACAGTGAGCTGACATACACAGTCACCACCCTCCCTTTTTACACCGGTCCTCACAGGTTTGTATGGATTCATCTTCACAAATAAATGAACGGAAATGATTCTGTCTGAAGCTTGTGTGGTTGTGTCCAAAAGCAGAGGTCTCGATGCAGGGAGGTTGTTCCTGGTCGACAGCATACCAAAATTCACCAAAGACAGCAATGCACCGGTTCTGAGGCTCTTCACACAGGTATCCCCGGTTCTTCTCTCCTAACGTCAGTATCACAGTTAGTACCCAAGCTGCCTGATTCCCTAAAAGCTCCCAATTTGTCACACTTTTTCCAGCATGCAGTGAACTTCATGAAAGTAGCCTACATGCCTCCGGTTATGGACATCGGCCCTCACCCTCAGTACATCCAGTTTGTCCTTTCTGTAACCAATCACGTGGGCAAAACAGTCCCCGGGATCTGTTTTAACATCACCGTGATGCCGGTGGACAACCAGCCCCCACAGGTAGAAAGCATGTTTGTCTTCTTCCTTTTTAGTTCAGCATTTGTGGATGTATACAGAGAGGATGTCCACACTTTTTTTTTCAGGTCATCACCAACCCTCTGACGGTGGATGAGGGGGGGCAGAGCCGGATCGGCCCGGAACACATGCTGCTGTCCGACGTGGACTCTGCAGAAAAAGCCCTACAAGTGGAGCTCAGGAAGGAACCAGAGCATGGGACTCTGCAGCTTGGTGGCCTTCCGCTTAAACCGGGGCAGAACTTTACCCTGCAAGACCTGAGAAGCCTTAAAGTTAGGTCAGACATCCTGCCAGATGCTAATGTTAACAGTTTTAGTTGAAATATTTTATATCCTTGTGTGTAGGACATGTGGTTTTCTTTAGAACGCAAGTTCTTAGATAACAGAAATTTCAACTCATGTAGGAAAGTATCCTTTTAAAGTACCCTAGTGACACAATTTGTCAGGGTATGTTCTAAATCTTTGATTTGCTTTCTTGCCAATGCAGTTACAGTCATGACAGTTCAGAAACTACCAAGGACAGGATGGAATTCATTGCAACAGACGGCACCAATTCTGTCATTTTTACTTTGCTGGTGAAGGTAACTGTTGAGGAAATAACACACAGAGAGGAAAGTTCATTAGCTTGACTCTTGCAGTCCCCTCACGTTTGCCATTTCCAGGTGACGCCCGTCAACGACGAGGTCCCGGTGGTGGTCACCGGTTTGAAACCAGTTCTCAGGTGTGCAGAGGGACAAGAGATAGTCATCACAACTGAGTATATCTGTGCAACGGATATGGACAGTGACAACAGCAGCCTGGCGTTCCTAATTGCCCGGCAGCCTTATCACGGTGTGGTGCTGCGAGGTGGGGTGGTGGTTGACCGCTTCATCCAGGCAGACATCACTGCTGGCATCATCTCCTACAGACACACAGGTAAAGACGTCCACATTACAGGTCTAAGTGCTTTTGACTAAGGGCTAGCACATGGCATGCCCTCTGAAGGAGATGTCCATCTTGGGTAGGGTTTTTGTACAAATACTAAAGAATCACATGTGAGGAAAAATTATAAATGAGGTTGTGTCCAAGCGTAAAAGGGATATTGGACTTTCTTGAAGTAAACACCTGGATTCAGGTTAGTTTAGCCTAACGCTCTTTAGTTTGAAAGACCTTATTGACAAAATGCACAAAGCTCCATGAGGATGATAGCACACTCAACTCAAAAAACTTAACTTGCTCGTTGTGATTTTGTCATGATGACATGACAAATGCTTTCAACCAAATATGGACATGCGATGAAAGAGAAATGGTTGGTTTGCATTGATTAAATAAGGAAAGGTGCCGTTACCTGTCCCTCAAAATTGAGTCACTCATGACTCACCCCTATCGTTGTGAACATATCTATCTAAAACTTTTTCATTTGCTGACTTTCCAAATACAAAAAGCATGACAATTGACAAATAAACACTTTTCCTTGACTATTTGAGTTTTACACAGATAAAGTGGATAAACTGCCCATAACAGTTTATATTGTCTATGTATTCAGTGTAAACTATATGTTTATACAATATATGTGCTGTATATACACTAAAATATCCTGTAATGATGATTTACAGTACTATGCAGGCAGATGGGAATCTTAAATGTGTCTTTCTATGTTGTGCCTTAGGTCTAGAGATTGGTCTAACACCCCGCCATGACACCATCACATTCGTCATTTCTGATGGAGGGACGGAGGCATCTGCTTTGTGTTGTGGTGGGGGGGACCCCCCCATCAACAGAGGCACCACTCCACTAAGGGCCAGTTTGCCTGTGTATGATCTCCAGATCACTGTGTTTCCTGTTGACAGCCAGCCACCTTCACTAACAACAGGTCAGCTTAAAACCTCAAAAGGAGCCACAATAGCCCATTTGTGAAACAAAAAAGCTGTAGCATAATGTTTTGCAAACTTGTCTTTCTTGATCATAGGTGACATCTTTATGGTGGATGAAGGTGGGTCTGCCTCAATAACTGCGTCTCATTTAAAGGTCTCTGACATGGACACAGATGTGGATAAGCTCGTGGTCAGTCTGATTTCTCCTCCCCAGTTTGGTTACATAGAAAATATCCTTCCTAATCCTGGCTTTGAGACAAGTAACACAGGCATAAGCATCGGTGAGCACGATCACACTCACTATTGTCACCAGACACGTAAACCAAAAAGTAGTTTCCAGTGGTTGATCTTTCCTGTCCTTCTACAGCTTCTTTTCCATTCAAAGACATCCTGGATGGTCATATAAACTATGTACAGAGCAGACACCAGAGGATGGAGCCCACGGCTGACCAGTTCCTGCTCTGTGTGTCGGATGGCACGCACAGCTCTGCCCATGTCCCCTTTTACATCATCATCACTCCTACAAACGATGAAATCCCAGAATTTGTGACTCGCAACATCACTGTAAGTTGTTTTGGTCTCAAAAACCATATCTATAAAATCATAACAAGCATTCCCCTCAGACTTTGTTCAGAGGACGTGCTCTTAAAATGACTCTGTGTGTTGGAGGTGCGAGAGGGAGAAATGAAGCAGTTGGATTCATCAGTGTTGAATGTCATGGACCTGGACATTCCCAAAGACGATCTGCTCTTCTCTGTGGTCAAACCTCCTCTACATGGCAGCATCATTAATGACGGCGACTACAGAAGAATCACCAAGAGAGGAGAAGTCAACCTTCAATCCTTGGTAGTCGACTTCACCATGGCAGATCTCACCAATGGTACTTTTTACACATCAATGCACCATTTCGCCCATGATTGTTCATAAAAGGATCTTACAGTCTCTCTGGGGGCTGGACAGGCTGGCAGAAAACTTGGCACTTTATGTGACATTTTGAGATATAATCAATTTAGAAAAATTAGAAAAAACACATAGAAGTCGGATTCCTCGTATATATGAAAATGATATATGTGTGTGTATATGTGTGCCACAGGTTTGGATCTGATGTACATGCACGATGACTCTGAGAATATGGAGGATAGTTTTACCATCCAGCTAAGTGATGGCAGACACCGTCTCCACAGACAGCTGACCGTTCACGTGCTGCCCGTGAATGACCAGGAGCCGCGGGTCATCCGGTGAGACCGGTATCCTCCTCAGAGCTCACGTTCAAAATATGCTTCCATGTGACCCGCTGTTTCCTGCTGTCGTCCTTCAGGAATAACGGACTGGAGGTGGAGCCAGGAGAAGCCAGGATTATTTCCAGCGTCAGACTGTTCGCTCAGGATAGAGATACCCCCTCATCTGAGCTCATGTACATCTTTGAGAGTGTCCCAACCCAAGGACTTCTTCAACTTAAGGTTGATGCACAATATTTTCAAGAAACTCACCAGTTCTTGGCTGTTAGGTTTCATGTTAATGCACCAGATAAAAAAGATTTCCTGCTGTTTCCCAATGGAAAATGTAATGGCAGACATAGGGTATTGTTCTCTACAGCTCCTCTACAGAGTTGTACTGTGATAATATTAAACCAGGCCAGTTCCTGGTCAGGCTAGCATTTGGAAAAAAATCTTTGACTCTAACAAAAAAATGGTCCAACTGATATAAGGTTTTGGTTAATGAAATAAACAACAGTTTAGCCCAATGAGTCAGTCCAAAAGAGATAGTGTCAAAAAATAGGTTCAGAAAAACAAAGATCTGATTAAAACAATATTAGCATGTGCCAAGCTTTCTGTGTAACTGTGTAACTGCCCTCTCAGGAAGGCCAGGCGTGGGTGACGCTATCATCTGGGAGGAACTGTACCCAGGAAATGGTGGACATGAACCTGCTGCGCTACCTACACACAGGCCTCCATTCTACTAAAACACAGGACTTTTTCGTCTTCCACTTGTGGGATGGAAATAATAAATCCCCCCGACAGCACTTCCAGATCTCTGTCAAAGACCTAGAAAAAGGTAAAAGAGTTTAGACTTTCTCCCCCCTTAGGAAGAGATTCCCTACTTGCAATATTATCTATTACCTACTATCTGTTACTTCCAAGCCAAAGTCATAGTATCAACATTTTTCCAACTTATTAAAAGTGAATTCAGAAATCATGAAATAAGCAGGGGTTCATCCTATTTTATGGAAAATGATGTGTTCATATGTACAATGTCTTTAATGGAACCAGTTTTCTCGTTCCGTTAAAGACATCTTTGGAAATTTAGTGCACTGGGGCAGCATTGGGACATGCTTGTAGTTAGCAAAGATGGGTACTTACTAGCACAGGCCCAATGTATCCCAACCATATTCAGTCAGAAACATTAGATAATGTGAGAAGATCTTGTTCAGTTTATGATTTTTATGCTTTCTCTTTGGGTACTTGTGAAAGACTGAGAGTACGTTAGGTAAGGTAGCTCAGAATCTTTTGGCTAACACTCTTTGTTGATGCGTTCCGATTTGCTCGTGTCCTTCAGGAAACATTGCCCTCTTCGTGAAGCCCCTGACTGTGAGCCGTGGGGATCGCGTGGTCCTCACCACAGATGTGTTGTTAGCCACAGACGGCACAGACAAGCCAGAGGAGCTTATCTATAGCATCAACAAGCCTCCTGCTCATGGGCACATAGAGTACATCAAACATCCCGGACTGGTCATCTCCACCTTCAGTCAGATGGACATCGCAGGGAACCTTGTGGCTTATGTTCACGACAACCGCGCCAGGAAGACAACAGAGACCTTTCAGTGAGTTAAAAAGCTCCATTTCTCTTTTTATTTATGGGGATTAGCTGTCACCATTGATCTGACAAAATAACAAAAAAACAATTTTTAGATAATAACGTATTACTGTCAATCGGAATAACAGAGTATTGAGGTGTGTTGTGTCCAGGGTGTCCACTGTCCTGGGTCTCTTTTGTACTATTTGTGAGTCATGAAACATAATTTCAGTTAGCCAAAGATCTGGACCAGGTGCAGGTCAGTCCAGAACCCAGGCCTTTCTCCTATGTACATTTTACAAAGTACATTTAAACTAGCTGACTTCCTGCTAGCTTTAAAGGAAAGGACCTTTTCTGTGGGTGTTGGTATGTCAGTTTTGGGCAGATGATCCAGTTAAATTGATTGGGAGTGTGTGAACGTATATTTATTCTTTTATAAATGCCTTAAAATGCCTTAAAGAATGCTTGTTAGGGAATATTCACGGACAGGATTACACAAGACCACTGTGCAGGCACGCATGTGCAACAAAAGTCAGGAATGTGTAGCATCACCCGCGTTACCACACACACACACACACCCACACACACACACTTGCGTACTTGAGTCGCCACTTATCAACACCACTATCTATCTACTTTCATTGCTTGTCAACTATTGCTGGAGATGGTGCTACGCATTCCTGATTTACCAGTTATGTGCACCCTGTTTAATGCATGATTCTGATCTAGTGTAGAAATAGAAGCTTTAGCAAAACACTCAGTCTCTTCCATCTTTTCGACAGGTTTGTTGTGAGTAACGGTAAAACTACCCGGAATGGAAGCTTTGAAATTCAGGTGGAAATGGTGGATCGCGTCCTGCCCACTCTGACCTCCAACAGAGGCCTCACTGTCCCTCAAGGCTCGGTCATGATCCTCGGTCCTGACTGCCTGTCCAGCTCTGATCCGGACACTCCCCCCAGTGCCCTGACCTTTGTCCTCAGGCAGCCCCCGCAGTACGGCCAACTGCTTTTGGCCGGCACTGCACTGGCCGCTGGCTCCAACTTCACC